TAGAGAATATCTCTTCAAAGTTTCAGCCTTCTGCGTTGCCTGGTTCGCGAAATCGTTTCCCGCTAACAAATTCCTTTGGGGGTCTCGTGCGCGGGGTTTAGGCGCGTATGGAGAAAGATCTCAAAACGGGGGAATGACACACGGGGTAGGAACATATATCCGAAGTTTCAGCCCCCATCTTTCCTGGTTGCCAAGTTGAAAGTGGGTGACAAAGTGCACTCGCTTTCCGAACACACACACACAGCCTCTTGACAGTATGCGTTTTTGCTGACCGTAGCAGCGCTATAGCGCTGCTATAGCGCTGTACAACAAAAACGTATAAAAACGCACAGTGTAGTCAGGCTGCAGACTGTTGGCGATTAAGAATGCGTGCCTGTTTTGATCATCCGCACATCATAGCGTCGTTTTCCAATTGTGCAGCTGGCAGATTTTCCAGTCGCTTTGACCACTGCTGCATTACCCAGCAGTCGACAAGCTGGCACCTTTGGCGTGCGTTTTACCTCTTGAAGGAACTTCAAGCACATTCGCCCTCTCGAAAGAAACAATTGCGCAAAGCTATAGCCGTCCCGAGATTTTACTGACGTGTTGAGCATCATCACTGCATGTCGAATGAGCAATGAAATCTTATTGCCCAGGCAAAACGCTTCAAAACGAGGATCAAGCGTCGGCAAGGTTGCTAAATTTAATCCAGCAAGGACACGATACCGAGGAAGCTCAGGATCTGGCAGTTCAAAATGTAAGACATTTCTGATGACTTTCTGTAGGGCATTCTCTAAGTTTTTAAACATTCAGCCTAGCCTTTTTAACGACTCTACAGCTATTTTACAACTGAAGTACCTACAAAATCTTTTGATTTACTATTCATACTGTTCTCCTCAATGTAGTGATTTTTTGATGTATTTTTGCTTACGTGATATGTGGAAAGATATCATGGCAAGACACCGGTGGAGACACAGCCTATCGCACTACAAAAGCATAAAGCTAAAATCAACTTTCAGTATCCTGATCTACCAAACCATGTGCAAAACTAAGTTAATTTTTATACGTTTTGTGCAATTTTTGTAGCACAAAACGCATGTTGTTGAGACCCTGTGTGTATGTGTGTGTGTGCGTGTGTCTGTGTGTGTGTGTGTGTTCCGAGTAACCGGTTTCAACTCAGGGGCCAGAGAAGCTAGAAAGCTGAAATTTTAGTATAGTCTTTCCCGTCCACATGCAACCCTGCAAATTTAAATTCAGCCTTCACGTACACCCGGGTACCACGTGCGACCCCACGAAATTTTTGGCAGGAAGAACCATGAAAGCTGGGTAGCTGAAATTTTATGGAGTATTCCACACCCACGTGCAGCCTCAACTTAACTTCAGCCTTCACATACCTCCCCGGTACCATGTACGACCTTGCGAAATTGCTGGCAAGGAAAATTATTACCTAGGGGACCATGAAATAGTGGAATAAAGGGACTGAACTAACTGTTATATGTAAGAAGACATTTTAGGATGCAGTCTCTGTTTTATACTTTAGCTGTAAACATAGACCGAACTTTGCGTGCGGGTAGGAGGAAGAATCATCAGTACAGTCTCTTAACTGCCATGTAGTGAATAGTCATGTGATTAGTTTGCAAAGCTAATATGCGATTGAAAGAGAAAATAGAAAACGAACAAAAAGAATGAGAGAAGAGGGAAAGAAGAGAGAAAGAAAGTTAACCGATGATACGAACAGTCATTGTGTTTCAATTATAAGCCAGCACTTTTTATGAGAATAATGTACTGACTGGGCGTTTAATTCCTGAATCATCAAAAAGGATGAATTTGCTGAGTACTGATCGGTTGCTGAAGCGGAATCTGAGAACAGAGCGTTCTATTTTGACAATATCAAACCTATATCTCTATAAGTGCTTAAAACCCATTTAGAGCAGTCATGGAATCCCTCTGGAAGAGCGCGTATACGTGCATTACAACGTAGCTGTGATATAATAACACTTTCTTGCGCCATGGTCCATATCACTGTCTGGATACTCTCCGTGATTTACTCTGAATGGGTAGTCCAAGGTCTTATTATATACACTGAACATACACCTGCCTTTTTGGCATAAAACTTCAAGGTCTAAAAAATAAGCCCTTTGTCCGGAGTAAGTGGTACTGAGTTGAAAGCTGGGCACATGGATGCTACTAGCGATTTCAGCAAAGTTGGTGCAGTTAACAATAAGGATTTCATCGATGTAACGGAAGAGATGGAAAATGAATTCCGGGATTCTTACGATGGGACCGATACGCAACAATTGAAAGTGTGAGATCGGCAATATCAGTACTAGCGTTGGCATCCACTGATGCACCTTGTACTTGCTTGAAA